CCCTCATGTCCATACTGAATAACCCTGCCTTCCCCCAGGCGCTCCAAGGCCCCTCTAGCTTTATTGAATGGTCTTCACGCAATCTCACCTCTTTTTGGCAGCTACAATCCACCTCAGGTATTAAATCATTCCCATACTTGCAGGAACACTACTCGCTACCCAACAGAGAAATCTTTCACTACCTTCAGATCAAACACTATTACAAAACACATCAGGACAGGGCCACCACACCCTCGCCATTCGAACAAATCTGTCGAGACAACCCACATGGCCCAGGACTTACCCTCCCCCATCCCATGTGTCTAAGTGGAACACTGATCTAGGAGATGTCATGGATGAGGAAGCCTGGCACCAGTCCTGGCAGAACACCAAATCCAGCTTGCGGTGTGCAAGTATGTTAGAGATAAGCTATAAGGTCCTCCTGCATTGGTACTTGGTGCCAGCCAGAGTGGCCACTTACAACTCCCACTGCTCACCTGTTTCCGAGGATGTCCTGAATCAGGTACGTTTATCCACACTTGGTGGAGATGTCCGATAGTCTCGGGCTACTGGGATGAAGTTTTCGCCCTCATGGACTCGGTGGTCTCCGAGACGGTGACTAAGGATCCAGTTTTTGCCCTACTAAATTGTAAACCAGAAAATCTCCCCAAAAAGACCTTTAAGCTGTCTCTCCACATCCTCTCTTCTGCTAAGAGAGAGAATGCACTAAATTGGCTCACAAAGTCTCTTCATATCTCGCATGTGATTACTCATATTCATTGGATCATGGCCCAAGAAAAAAAGAACAGCACAACTTGAGAATACTATGTACAAATTCGAAAATATCTGGTCCCCCTGGATTGATAAATTCTTTAACTCACCAATCTCCCGTCGCCTATGCCACATGTGATGCTATAGTCGTAACATTACCATTGTGTGCATCCTCCGCCCAGTGTTACGGTCCAGCACCCTATTCTTCTCCTTCATTTTTCCTCTTTCCCCATGTCCCTTATATGTCGTCCTGTTCTCCGGTGTCTCCCCATGTGCTGTGTGTCTTATTGTTGCTAGTATCACTAACCTGCCATACAAGGGTCCTGGATTTACTTGACTGCTCCTACTCTGAGTAACGGTGAACTACATTTTAACCATGCACTATATCATCTGAGGTCCTTGAAAGCTAACATGTGAACCCAGTGGGGCAGTACCCTCCAAGGCTTACATTGGACGGTAACTTGGTCGCATTTGCACTATAGCAGATAGGACCTTCATTTTAGCCGTACCCCAAGGACTGACGTTGTATTCCTCCACCATGTGTCATGTTGTATATGTATGACCTGGTTGCTTCAGGCATCAGTTGATATTGTACCATGTCTGTGACTACTTGTACTGTAAACCTTAATAAATATCTATTTGAGAGAAGAAAAATAGAGCTGAAGCAACATTGTAAAAGAAGAGTGGGCCAAAATTCCTCCACAAAGACTGATAAAGTCATACAGAAAACAAGTACTTATTGCTGCTAAAGATGGTTCTACAAGCTACTGAATCATAAGGTGTAATTAACGTTTCACATATGTCTTCTCCACTTCAGCGTTAGGTTTGTAAAATAATGACACGTTGTAATATACATCATGTGTTGTTGTTCACCTGAGGTTGTATTTACCTAAAGTTTAAGACCTGCTAAGGACCAGATTATTTTATGTCCTGATAACCTTTTAGCAACCTGCCTCCAGTGCATGTGCAATACCACCTCACATTTATTTAATGCATTAGGTCAAATCTCATCTCTACCAACATTGGTCCCATAGTAACCTCAGCTCCAATTCTGGCTTAAACATTCTTATGCAATAATGCCCTGCCCCATAGCCTAATTTCCAGGAACTGCATGACCATCTCTGCTACTAACCTGCTTCAATTTTGGGGCCTCCTTTTCAACCCCCATTGTCCCCAATTCCACTGACACACTCCTGTTTTAGTATTCTCCCTACCATCTCACTGCCACCTCCACTGTTCTGAAATAACCCGTTTCTCAGCAGGCACCTTTCCTGTGCACTGATTTTGACTTATTTCTTCTCGGTAAAACGCGCGCGCTGTGAAGAGCTCAGCTCCCATGCTGGTACCAGGTTTTGTGAATGAGTGCCAAATGCATTAAAGGAGCACACTTCTGTCCCTTCACTTGTACAACTATGACAATTGTTATAGTTGTGTAGTTTTGTTACTAAATTATGGAAAAATCAATAAGAATCATGTGCGTGTGAAATTGTTAACTGTTCTGACTGATACACCTACTCCACTCCGGCAAATACTGCTCACTTTCATACTCCCCTCCTCACTCCCCTCCTGTAAACATTGTACTCAAGGTATAACCTCTGCAAGCCTCTCCTGCACATAAATGCCCAGTCATACCATTTGCATGCCTGTGCTGCACATACTACCCACTAAGACACACAAATATCCCTAAACTCACATGTACTGGAACAGCATAGTTTTTTACCAGTATATATAAACATTTGAAGCTTGCTCGCTGATTAAAGCATTTTTACATGCTTGCTGAACCATGATGCTGTCAGAATTTTAATGCAGTTGTTATAAGGGGGAGTTATTTTTATTTCCTGCGCAAGTGACTGGCATCAGAACAGTAAGTGAGCGAAACATCTAAATCTTGACAAGAGAAACATTTTTCACATAGCGACACAAAGCATTTTACATTTGGGAGAGAAAACTAAAAACAAAAAGAAAATAAAAGAAAATTCTGTTTGTTGGAAAAAGAGTGAGAAACTACAGAGGTAGAGTAGTGCCAGAACTGCCACCAAGTTCCCAGCTTGGATAAGAAAACAGTGGCAAGATTTAATAAATCACCCACCAATAATGAATGTAGCTTTTAACCCCTTCATGACTGAGCTTGTTTTTCGTTTCTGTTCGTGAATGACTGACACACTTTTTACATTTTTGCTGTGTGATTCTTCCACGTCAGTAATATACTTTCTTACAAAGTGCACCCACACATATTATATGTTGTTTTTTTAGAGGACAGATAGGGCTACATATTTATTATCACCAGGGCTTGAAAAATCCACTCGAGGACGGTGAAGCCCGATGAGCAGCTTCCCTGCTGGCCGATGTAATTACACTGCCAGCCCGGGAGCATCAAGCGATCGGTCGTCTCTAGAGACGCTCGATCGCTTGTATTAGCATCCGTCACTGCCATTGCCGGTCCCGAGATCCGCTGTGCCCGATGCGGCCATGCCCGATGCGGCCAGGACCGGCACGGCTCTGTGACAGGAGATCAAAAGGGAGTTCAGTATACGAATCACTATATTACATCACTTCCTGCATTCAGTGTCACTCTCCAGCTACAGAAGTTGATGAAGCAGATCTCTGCTTCATCAGCTTCTCTGGGGGTCCCTAGGTGACATTAGGGGTCTTGCGAGACCCCTGATGTCTCCATAAAGAGGACCTGTCATGTAAATTGGCTATCACATAGGGGGCTTCTTAGCCCCCCATGTAATAGCAATAAAGTTGTGCGTAAAAAAAAAAAGTAATACAAAAATTAAAGAAGCATAAAAAAAATAAGGAAGCATAAAAAAATTAAAACAGAAAACATTTTTTTAAAGTCTCCGCCCCCCACATACACATATGCGTCATTGTGCCGCACATGTTACATATCGGCATTTTTTGCGATTTTGCGGGCGCACGCAATTTTAAGGCTTGGCATGTTTGGTGTCTATTTACCCGACATGACCGCGACTTTTATGTTTTACTAAAAATATGGGTAAGAATAAATGTTTTATAACATAACGTAGGGAAACTTTTTTTTTTTACATGGTACTTTTTTCATTATATAGTAAAAAATAAAATAAAACCCCTCCCCCCCCCCCGTGGTGATGATATACCTCAAAAAGAAAGCTCTATCTGTCCCCAACATTTTTTTACATGAATTGCAAGGCTATAATATGGTCATGCTGACTGGTGACATTTTTGACTGACTGGTGAGACACCATAACATTTTTCAAGCTCTGCATATCACATATGTGTACCTAACGCCTCACTAAAAGTGGTCACCTGGCATACAATGTCACTGTCACTAAGTGACAGCGACATATTTTGAACATCGCTGTCATGAGGGGGGATTTAAAAAAAATATTAACTCCTTAGGGTGAAAAAAAATCTAATTTTTATTGTAAGGGGTTAATTTTTTATGTAAATAAAAAAATTATAAAAAATTATATAAATGATAGTATAAAAACTTAGTGACACTGATCCTGCAGCATTTTCAGGATCAGCTGTCACTAAGGCTTTCTGATCGTTACAACAATCAGAAAACTGAAACATTCTTTTAGGAATAGATACATTGGGGGGAATTTATCATATACTAGAACATACAACATCTGGGGCAGATTTGCACAGCAACCAATCAGCTTCTCTGTCTCATTTTCAAATCTTACCTGACAGGTCTCACTCTCAGGCACCCGATCCCCTTCAGGAATCGGGTGTCTGAAAAAGGTTAACTTTCATTAATGGATGCCTCTATACTGAGGCATCCATTAAGGAATGGTAACTGCTGCTTCTCAGCGGTTACCAGCCTTGTAAAGCAGCAAATAACTCGTCCCGTACAGTGAACGTGATAAGTCATTTGGGCACTTTGTGGCGGGACGTACAGTGTACGTCTGTCACAAAGGGGTTAATGATTTTTTTTTTCAGCTGGACCAAACAACTCATTGTACATGGGGTTTATTTAAAGATTTTAGGTGATGTGGTACCTGGCAATGTTAGGTTACACACACAAATTTATCAAAACTGGAGCAGAAGAATCTGGAGCAGTTGCCAATCAGCTTCTCTCTTTAGTTTGTTGAGCTAAGGTTTGAAAATGATAGGTGGTTGATGATTGGTTGCCTTGACCAACTGCTCCAGTTTTAATAAATTCCCCTCACAATGTCTCCCGAATAGATGCAAGTAGGAGCAGGACATGTAGACTAGATGAACAATATACAGCCCTGTCTGTTCCTGAAGCTTATATTTCTAACCTGTTGGCGTTTTGCAGTCATTAAATTTAACTTCTCCACTTCAGCTTTTAATGCTTTATACTGTATTCCCAATTCTTGCTCTGTTCCAGCATTTCTTAGTTTTACAATACCTTCTTCAACCTAAAAAAAAAATAAAAAAAAAATAAAGTTAAAATCATTAAACAGCATTTTAACCTTTTCATGACCGAGGCCTTTTTTTCTTTCATTTTTTTGTTTACAGGTTATAATCCACATTTTAGGCCTGAACATTACTTAAAACCCCCAAACATTATATATATTCTGAAAGCCAAGACACTATAGAATATAAAATAGTGGCAGTTGCAAATTTTTATGTTGCACGATATTAGCGCAACTCCTGATAAAACCCAAAAAGTTAGTGAAAAATGCCCCAAAACACACTATAATACCCATTTTTTTAAATAAAATATAAAAGGTGAGGTTACAACAAGTAAATAGATACCCAACATGCCCAGGTTAAAAATTGTGTGCGTCCATGAAACTGCGACAAAATTCAGTAGCCCAAAAAGTCAGTAGACGACACTAACAGCCCCCACAGGTCATCAATTTAGAGTTGCGCGTAAATATTGGCCCTAGAATTATTGCAGCGGCAATACCCAGCATGTGTAGCGCAATCTTTGCTTTCATACGAAGCTCACCCGACGCATGTATACATGAAGACGTGAGCACGTGGGGGATAAAAAATGTTTTTTATATTTTATTTATTAATTATGTTGTTTTTTTAAACTTTACTTTAACTTGCTATCACATGGAGGAGCTTCCAAGTAAGCTGCATCGCTCCTGGTCCCATAGTACGGGGAGGAGTCCGGTGAATGGAGGTTGCTGCCTGGAGTTGTGCAATGTGTAAGCATATGATCAGTAACTAGAACATGTTCCAAACCCCCCCCAACACCAGAGGAGCTGGTCCTGGGCCCGTAGGAGGGACAGTGGAGCACGGGAAACACGGCAGGGGTGTTGGGTGGGGGGCAGCGTTTGCCAGCCCGTAGAAGCGATCTGGTGGCAGCTGAGTCGCTAGAATCGCTTCCACTGTAAAGCTGTACATCACTGGTCACTCAAGCAATTGAGAGCAATACATAAGCCACCCAAAAATCCATGATGGAATCATATTAACCACGATTTTTAATTTTCTTAAAGAAAAAAAAAATAGCGAAAACATTT